TGTGAACAAAACTCTCTCTCTCTCTCTCTCTCTCTCTCTCTCTCTCTTCACTTCTCCTCTCGGTAAATCCACTTCGTTTAACTTTAGTTAATCTTTCGTTTACATCTCGTTAAACCTGAATCAAGATCGTTCTCTTGTTTCCAGGTTAATCCAGATGTCTCGCATTGTTAAGTCTGTATGTCCTTATCTATATATATACCTCCTTCGTTAACTGGGAAGTCAATCGTATACACTTCGTTATACCTGCATCCTCCTCCTACCACTCGTTAAAACATCGCAGTTGCGCACCTCCTTTCCTTATACCTAATTAAAATCCAGGGAAATCGTTCGTTAAGTTCTCGTCAGACTACGAACATCTTCCCTTACGCTCTCGTTATACCGCGGTTGTGTTTGTTATATCATCTTTTACCTCATTCTTAAGACCCGGAAAATCTTCCGCTTAATGTCTCATTAGGTTAGACCACGGAACTCCTTCGTTTATTCCCTCGTTGTATTTCGGAATACTTTCACGAGCTCCTTGTTAAACAAGGTGCCCCTCGCTACCACCACCAGAGCGTCGGGTGTCGGTGGTAAACGTTGAGTGTTATTATCCGTGCTGTTCAACGTCACCGCATCCACTCGTTTATCCGGGAGTAAACGAATATCATAACTGGCTGAAAAACAAGGGAAAGTGGGTGGGTCCCATACGCTTGAGGGCCCGTTAGGGACAGTATAGATACCGACACCTAAAACAGGACGAAAATGGTAGATGGTCTGACGCCATTATTTTTGGAGACTGTAATTGAATGAGGATATGAGAGAGAGAGAGAGAGAGAGAGAGAGAGAGAGAGAGAGAGAGAGAGAGAGAGAGAGAGAGAGAGAGAGAGAGAGAGAGAGAGAGAGAGAGAGAGAGAGAGAGAGAGAGAGAGAGAGAGAGAGAGAGAGAGAGAGAGAGAGAGAGGTTTCACGAATAAGAAAGGTAATATAAAAAAGCCACACTCAAGAGAACATAATCCACATGGTGTTAAGGGAAACTTCGCCTGAAATATATAGCCACACACGAGGCCGTTCCTGAAAATCAAAAATTTTCAGCAGAGGCTTTAAAAATTTTCCACACGATCACCTCACCGCTCGAGGCAGACACGGCGCACTTGTTTCTGAAAATACGCAGTCGTTAGTGTAGTTACTGCGGCCTGGTGTTGATGTAGAGCTGCTTGTCGGAGCCCACGCCACGTTTTTGGCCGGATCCCTTGGGTATTATGTGCGCTGATTGGTCCTTATCGACTATGACGCCAGCTAATGTCCCTCCCATTGGTCCCTCTGAGCATGACGTCATAGTGTCCCTCCCATTGGTTCTTACCGAGTATGACGTAAGTTAGTGTCTCTCCCACTAATCCTTACCGAGTATGACATCAGCTTGTGTCCCTCCCATTGAGTCTTACGAACTATGCCATCAACTAGTTTTCCCCTCATTGGTCCTTGCTAACTATGGCGCCAAATTATGTCCTTCTCATTGGATCTTGAGAAATATAAAGGTAAATGAAGTCCCTACTAGTTTTCCTTACCGAAACGATTTAATATTAGGTTGAATAAGCCTTGATTCAGTTAACTTATCTACGGAATGTAAGGTTGGCGCATCGGATTTTGTAAGAGTAATGGAAGGTAAGCGTCTGGACGTCATAGTCAGAAAGACCCAATCAACAAACAGCACTCCCTTCTACGTCATAGCTATCAAGAACCAATCAACAAACAGCACGCCCTTCTACGTCATCTCTGTCGAGAACCAATCAACAAACAGCATGCCCTTCTTCGTCATAGGGGGGTAGGAGTGGTGGGGGTGGAGGGGAGGGTGAGAGAAAAGGGTAGAAGAAGAGGAGGGAAAGGAGAGGGAGGGGAGGGGTGGGAGGAGGGGAGAGTTGGGGGAAGTGGTAGAGGGAAGGGAAGGAAAGGAGAAGCAGGGGAGGAGTAGGAGGAGGGGAAGGAGGGGAGGACGGGGCAGCAACAGGTCTATGGCTCCTGTTAAACAACCGCTCCTTACTGTACAAGGTGACATCACCAGTGAATTAAAGAGATTCGTTTTAGGGTGAGTGGGTGATCATCATCCTCCTGCCACGCCGTACAACAGTCAGTGGTGTGATACAACACGCGGAACATCACATTTCTGTACACCCGGAGGCAGTGTGGCTGGCACTGCACTCGACTGGCCTCGATTCTCAACAGTAAAGTTAGGAAACTGTTAACAGATCGTGTGAACCCTTAGGACACGATGCGAGCCTCGAAAATTCAGCGTAAACGGTTAAAATGTTCACTTTTTTCGAAAAGGAATTTTATATCAAAACTTGCAACAGGAGGAATGTTATTGATACCACCAGCCGGTACACGCTCAAGCCTTATAAAACATACATTTAATTGGAACCAGAATTTAGAAATGCAATTTTCGTGGTGTGGTCAGGTGGGTGGAGGCAGTGAGAGGGTGGTAGGTGATGGGGAGAGGGTGGTAGGTGATGGTGAGAGGGTGGTAGGTGATGGTGAGAGGGTGGTAGGTTATGGTGAGAGGGTGGTAGGTGATGGTGAGAGGGTGGTAGGTGATGGGGAGAGGGTGGTAGGTGATGGTGAGAGGGTGGTAGGTGATGGGGGAGAGGGTGGTAGGTGATGGGGAGAGGGTGGTAGGTTATGGTGAGAGGGTGGTAGGTGATGGTGAGAGGGTGGTAGGTGATGGTGAGAGGGTGGTAGGTGATGGGGAGAGGGTGGTGGGGGTGTGGGGTTAGTGGTAGGGGAATGTGTTTAGGGGTGGGAAGGGAGGATGGTAGGAGTGGGGAGGATGGAGCGTTATTTCTGGCTCACGTCATACACTTTTGGTATACCCTAAACCTAACCTAACCTAACCTAACCTAACCTAACCTAACCTAACTTAAACAGTACCATAAGCAGCAACAGTCTGGGTAAGTTTCTGACTGACATATCCACTGAGAGAATATTTCATCCAGCGCTGCGCCACTCTTGTCTTTCTCATCTCCGGGTGAAAGTGGTCCAGCAAAGGTAAGGTATTTAACAGGTGAATGACAGGTATGTAACAGATGTGAAACAGGTGTAACATGTTTAATAGGTGTGAAACAGGTGTAACATGTATACAAGTATGTAAAAGGTGTGTAATAGGCATGTAATATTTTTTTTTCTCCAGGAATTAGCCCACCTGGACACAGGTCACTGACCCACATCGGGGCCTGGGGGACGAAATTGCAATAATAACTACAATAATAATAATAATAATAATAATAATAATAATAATTATAATAATAATAATAATAATAATAATAATAATAATAATAATAATAATAATAATAATAATAATAATAATAAAGAACCATAAAGAAATAAAAAATATCAATAGTGAGAAACAATATATACAGTATACAAGTATGTTGTGTTGTCAAAGTAAGAGAAACAATTGAGACCCTGCAAGTGCGTGTAAATGAGGCAGAAAGTCAGATCAGCAACCAGGGACTTGGTCACAATTTTTGTGTGTTTATCAGGTGTTTAACAGGTATGTATCATGTGTGTAGCAGATGTATAACAGAAGTGCAAAAGGTGTGTAACAGGTATGTAACAGAGGTGGAAAATCTCTTGGTCGTGAGACTCTATTCGTATTCAAACAAACTACAACAAATTAACACAATATAAAGTTAAGGTAGAGTCTCGGTGTAAGTTAAGGTAGAGTCTCGGTGTAAGTTAAGGTAGAGTCTCAGTGTAAGTTAAGGGAGAGTCTCAGTGTAAGTTAAGGGAGAGTCTCAGTGTAAGTTAAGGTAGAGTCTCGGTGTAAGTTAAGGTAGAGTCTCAGTGTAAGTTAAGGGAGAGTCTCAGTGTACGTTAAGGTAGAGTCTCAGTGTAAGTTAAGGTAAAGTCTCAGTGTAAGTTAAGGGAGAGTCTCGGTGTACGTTAAGGGAGTTACGTGGAATTTTACGAAACTTATTATGGAACTTGACCCACATATGGACAGATGTGTGTGTGTGTGTGTGTGTGTATAAATGTGTGAAGAGTGTGAAAGTAGTTGAGTTGCAGCCAATGAATAAACCGGTGGAGTGAAGGAAAGATGGAGGGAGTTAATAAAGAAGGGAGTGATGGAGGGAGTTAATAAAGGAGGGAACAAGAGAAAAATTAACCTACCATAATAATGTATACATAAAATCATTTCAAAGCAGGTATACATGCCTACACATATGTATATTACACTGTCATACATACACTATATTAGATAATACTCAGAAACGGAAAATGGTTGCTGGACTCACTAACGACAGGTAACCACGCAAACACCTCTTAATGACCCATGTATGTGATTCAGCGTCAAGGTCACTTTCATAATGACCTGACCTCTAGCTTTCCTTTGTATCTTGTGCTTTCATTATCTGCCTTTCTTCTCATTCCATTTATCAAAGACTTTCATTCTTAGTAATTTCCTTTCTCTTGTGTTTTTGTTAATAGGTAAACTTTCCTTCCACACACCTCACCACACCTGTTAACACACCTCACCACACCTGTCAACACACCTCACCACACCTGTCAACACACCTCACCACACCTGTTAACACACCTCACCACACCTGTCAACACACCTCACCACACCTCCTGGACCACACCTCCTGGACCACACTTCCTAGACCACACCTCCTGGACCACACTTCCTAGACCACACCCCCTGGACCACACCACCTAAGCCACACCTCCTAGACCACACCTCCTGGGATCCACACCTCCTGGACCACACCTCCTGAACCACACCTCCTGGACCACACCTCCTGAACCACACCCCCTGAACCACACACCTCCTGGACCACACCTCCTGAACCACACCTCCTGGACCACACCTCCTGACCACACCTCCTGACCACACCTCCGGAATTCACACCCCCTGTTCACAAAATTGAAACCGTCTTTGTACCAACCCCACCCATCCTACCTCCAGTCCTCCTCCTCCCTCCCAAGTGCCCCTCCTTCCCCTCCCTCCCCTCATCAATACGTACAGTTAATGGTGTCTTCCTCAGCTAATCCTTCTGTAAAGACAAGAAATAAACATGAAAACAATTTATTTTTAATTGAATTTTAAAAGTTTCATTTACATTTTTCTTGATTAAACTGATTATTAGATTAGTTTTTAAAAGGTGAATTTAAAGTAGGTTTTTCCTCGAGGTATTTTGTATAGTATTTAATATTTATTCTTTATTAATATTTTATGTAGGTTTTTTTTATTATTAGGGTTTAAGTAAATTTACCTTTTATAAGAATTAAATTTTTTTTTTACTAAATGTCATTATATACTTTTAGACAAACTGTAATCAACTTGTGTATTTTCTCTCACCCATACACTGGCATCCTTTCTCTCTTTCTTAGAGCTTTCTCTCCCATTATCTCACTCTCTCACCAAACACTCCCACACACCTGTAGTTATACATTTTAGATGCACAAGGGATGGGGCATTTGAAGCTTCGCCCCCACCACCTTATTTCATCTGGAGACTAATCTAACCTAACCTAACCTGAGGGGGTCGTAAGGATGGAGTCGTAAGGATGGGGTCGCAGGGTGGGGTCATAAGGATGGGGTCGTTAATTTTTGTGCCTTTACTTATATGAACAGGTAAGTGGATTATTTGAACTTCACTTACAAGAAAAATATCCACCGTACGACCCTTGTGTTAATCTACCCAGCAGTCTGTCACCCCACCTACCAAGGATGTCGTGTTCCCTCATGAGACAATCACAACACCACCCCATTAAATCTAATATATATTTCCTTCTCTTCAATGACATTCGCTAAAAAAAAATAGTTTGAGCCAAGAACAGGTACACAAGCTTCCTTTACGGCCTGTCATTAGTGTCTTACCAGGTGTGTTCTGTCATGGCATAATCCCTAATTAGTCTAGATTGTACATTTTCAACCTTCGGGCTGCCATGTATCTTAATAAACCGTTAATTATTATTATTATTATTATTTATTTATCACACACACACACACACCACCCTCCTCCCCCCATACACAACACCTCCCCCACACACCAAAACAGAGCCAACTCATTAACGCAGCCAAATATTCACACCACGACCCACCACACACGTCAGGGAAGATTGGATCCCACTTGACCACCCTGATCTCTCGCCTTCCCCTCACCTCACCTCGCCTCACACACCGACCCTACAAGTACGTCTCCTCTATCTATTATTCAGTCCCGTGTTCAGTTTATTCTTTCTCTCTGAATCCTCTTCAGTCTCTCATTTATTCCGTTTCTTGTGGGTCTCTCTCTCTCTCTCTCTCTCTCTCTCTCTCTCTCTCTCTCGCTCCTATTAAGAGTTCTGTAAGGGACAAATTTTCTTCCCAGGTGCGTCTTCTGAATAATATTAAAGCAAGAGTATATTATGTCTACTAACCTCCCAAGGAAGTTGAGTGTGTCTTAACTTCCTTATAAAATAAAATAAAATAAAATTGTGAAAAAATAAATCAAAATCAAATTCATAAGGAGAAATATCAACGATGTGAATTATAGAATAAAAACAATTGAAAAATAAAAGACATTCGAAAATAAAATAAAATAAAAATAATTAACAGTTATTAACTCTTTAATGATAAAATAGGGAAAATAAAACCCAAACGAGCATAATGTACTGTGTGTGGAGGTGGTTCATTCTCGTGTACACACTGACACTGATGGGAGAGTCCGGCTGATGCTCACGTCGGCGGAACACTACACCAAGACGTCCTCCTCAAACTCAAGCGATATAATGAATAAGTTTCTCTTTCCATTCGGATCACTTGAAGAATCTCCACCCCAGCTTCTTTCACCTCACCTAACCTAACCTAACCTAACCTAACCTAACCTAACCTACTTTAACCATTAGGATTGGGGCCTGTCAGGACTGGGGCCCAACGTTAATAGTGGGGTAAGGTTGGGGGCTATTAGAATTGGGGTATCTTTTGATGGGTCTATTTGATCAATCAACAAATAAAACTCAATCAACAAAAGTCTGTCAGAGCAACAGCCAGACAACACGGCCTCATGTTAACAACAACATAAAGTGCACGATCATTTGTCACTACACCAAGAACAGTAAATGTTAACAAGGTGAATGACTGGACGAGCTGTCATTAGAAGCGAATTCCTCAGTAGGACCTCTGTCACAGCCCAGAGCAGGTGCCCAGTACACGGCCCAGCGGAAGTGCCCAGTCCACTTGTCAGTACAACTCATTAATAAGTGCCACAACAAGTCCTACATATACATAATATAGATAAGAAGAAACAAGGCCAGAGTTGCTCTTTGTAAGGCAAGACAATAAAGAGATACAGCTCTTAATGTGGAAGGGACAATGTTTGTATGCTGTCTGTAATACTCCAAGTACCCTTTGCTGTTCATATGAAGACGTACCTGTAGTTTAACTCTTATTGTCTAACCGTCGTGGCACAGAGGAAGAGCCAGGAACATGACCTTAGTCCCCCAAGAGAGGACCTTGACGACGGAGGGGCTAGACAAGGACCCACGTCCTGGTGTGGCCCGGCACCACGACACACCATCATCTGGCGCCTCCCGTTCCCCTTCATATTGACCCACTAGCAGTGTGCAGGCCGCCCTCCCTCCCTCCCTCCCTCCCAGCCTGCCTGCCTGCCGCCCACGTGCCGCCTTTCCTCCCTCCCTCCCTCCCTCCCAGTCTGCCTGCCGCCCACGTGCCGCCCTCTCTACCTCCCTCCCTCCCAGTCTACCTGCCGCCCACGTGCCGCCTTTCCTCCCTCCCTCCCTCCCAGCCTGCCTGCTGCCCACGTGCCGCCCTCCTCCTCCCAGCCGCCGCCCACGTGCCGCCCTCCCTCCCTCCCAGCCTACCCTGCCGCCCACGTGCCGCCTTTCCTCCCTCCCTCCCTCCCAGCCTGCCTGCCTGCCGCCCACGTGCCGCCCTCCCTCCCTCCCAGCCTACCTGCCGCCCACGTGCCGCCCTCCTTTCCTCCTCTAACTCTTTTATGTGTCTCCCCTACCTACGGATCTCTACGCCCTCCCTCCAGGTCTCTCCTCCCCTCCCTCCAGCCCTCCCTACCCCTCCCTCCAGCCCTCCCTACCCCTCCCTCCAGCCCTCCCCCCCTCCCTCCAGCCCTTTCTCCTCCAGCCCCCCTCCCTCCAGCCTCCCTACCTCCTCCAGCCCCCTCCCCACCCTTCCCTCGAGTCCTCCACACACCCCTCAAGGTCGTCTGGAAACTAAGGGGGGATCATATGGAGAAATAAAACCCCGACGTCTACGAGCGAGAGACAGAGAGTCTATGGGGACAAACTCTATGTCAGGGAGAGTGATAATGTGTCTAGGAGAGAGGCTATATGTCTGGGAAGGGCTAGGAGTCTGTGGATGATGCAAGGAGTCTGTGGGTAGAGCTAGGAGTCTGAGGGAGGGGCTAGGAGTCTGAGGGAAGGGCTAGGGAAGCAAAGAAGGGAGTAGGGGTGTAGGAGAAGTCTGGGGACAAGAATTAGGTAACAAGAGCGCTGGTCATTCAGTAATCCGTCTCAGAAAAAGAAAAGAGAGAGAGAGAGAGAGAGAGAGAGAGAGAGAGAGAGAGAGAGAGAGAGAGAGAGAGAGAGAGAGAGAGAGAGAGAGAGAGTGTGTGTGTGTGTGTGTGTTATGGCACTTACTAACGAATACAAAAATATTAATACCCTCTAGTAGAGGATATTATTAATACCCTGTATTACCATAGACATCATTGGTATTATTATTATCATATATATATATATATATATATATATATATATATATATATATATATATATATATATATATATATATATATATATATATATAAGGTATGAACACAACGACTCATCACTGCGACTAATGGGTCATTTACAATAGAAAACCAATGACTCCTCTGCCACCTTATTTTCACTACGATACTTTCGATTTTTCAACAGAGTGTCATGAAACCAAGACGGCCAAAGGAAAGTCATTACCTGTGTTAATAATTTACTGGGAGCTGTAAAGAGCGTCCTGCATACCTGTGTGTAATTATCATAACTGGGTGGTGGAGAAACACAGGGGGAGAAATACAACACAGAGGCTCTTGTGGGTTAACTGTGGGGTGGGTGTGAGAGGTTAACTGTGGGGTGGATGTGAGAGGTTAACTGTGAGGTGGGTGAGAGAGGTTAACTGTGGGGTGGGTGTGAGAGGTTAACTGTGGGGTGGATGTGAGAGGTTAACTGTGGGGTGGGTGTGAGAGGTTAACTGTGGGGTGGATGTGAGAGGTTAACTGTGGGGTGGATGTGAGAGGTTAACTGTGGGATGGATGTGAGAGGTTAACTGTGGGGTGGGTGTGAGAGGTTAACTGTGGGGTGGGTGAGAGAGGTTAACACACTACAAGACGTCCTCCTCAAACTGAAGTGACAAAATGAACAAGTCTCTCCTCCCATTCTTATCCCTCAAAGAATCTCCACTGCAGCTTTTCTCACCTAAACCTAACCTAGTGAAACCCATTTATTGACCTTGACCACTACCTTAACCTGACCAAACTTGATCAATAGTAAGAAAATCATGAACTCAATCAGCAGTGCAAATTTGGTAAAGATAAGTTATGATCTGTGGACACTAGAGTGATAAAGTTAGTTACATAACTCCGGAAGGTGATGATCACTGAAGAAAGAGGTGAGGCAGTGTTAGGTGTGTCAAGGTTGCAATAAGACGACACTCAGAAATATTATCATGACGAGACAATTACTTACTTTATTGGTTGTTGCCCTATACCCTGTACAGTATACTGCTGTGTATTGTTCTTCCTAATTGACCTCTCAAACACACCGTAAACTCTTTAATTGGACTCCATAATTACCCTCCCTCATGCGCAGTACGCTCCCACACACACACACTGTACTCGCTACCAACCCTCCACACACACACTGTACTCGCTACCAACCCTCCACACACACACACACACACACACACACACTGTACTCGAGTGGTCCCTAACCATATTATGGAGGCCACAAGGGTTTCTTAGAAAAGTGTAAATTATTTGGGATTCTTTGAAAGAGTGAAA